TCACCTATAATGTGTCTCAAAGCAAAGGAGAACACTGGCCACCTTTTGAGATCATTGCAAGCTATATCGAGAAAAGTTATATAGTGAGAATCCTTCCTTGATATTGTAAGGAAAATGTGTGATTGGACATCAGGGCAGCCTTGAGAGAGGACTGTGACTTGTAGAGTTGGGGGAGGGGTGGTGGCCAGGAGGTAGGACTCTTGCCACACAAGCCCACCTCAGGGACCTGCCTGCATTCAGAATAGCAAGGCCACCTCTTGGCCTTCTTAGATGACCCCTTAGCTTGCCCAAGGACACACAGATGCTGAGAGGGGGAGCCATGCAAGGTATTGGGTTTTCTGACTCAGAACCCATGCTCTGTCCCTTCTCTCTGTAGACCCGGGTCTGCCCCAGAGCCACACACAATCAGCCTCTTCCGCTGAGAGTTCTTTTAAGTATTTGCAGCCTACTAGAATTTCTCCCTGCAGGGAGTCCACAGAGGGCCAGGCTTCAGAGGGGTGGCTCTGAAGACAGAAAGAGCAGAGTTCAAATACACGTTATCTACCCCGTCTTGGCTCAGGGACATTAGGCAAGCCATTTAACCTCTGTGAACCTTCAGATGTGGCAGCTGCAAAGTGGGGTTCTTGTACGTATCTCAGAGGGTCATCACAAGGTAGAATTGCTCCGGGCACGCAGGAATGGCTCGACGGTACCAGCAAGGGGGGATGCAGGGAGAGAAGGAATAGAAGCTACTAAAGTGGGTTTTGGAGTCAGGCCAGCCTTTGGGTGCCATTTTCTGACTGTGTGACCTTGGGTAGGTCTTTTGACATCTTGGCCTCAATTACGTCATCAGTAAAATGGCCCCGCTCTGACTGTCTTCCTCAGGTGGGTGCCATGCTGACTGCTAACACGTGTGAGAAGCCCAACATCCAGCACAGAGCCCATTAAGTGGTGGTTTTCTTCCTGCTGTCTGCATCACTGAGTGGGAGGACAGCCCTAGCCAGCCTAGACACCAATATCATCATGTGCATGCCATCCAGACACTGGGGTGCTAGTGATAAATGTGAGCCATGGCAGGCTGCCGCACCTCTCCTTGCCACACTTGTCCCCACCTCTGAAGTGGGCAGAATCGTGTCCCCTTCTCCCCACACCCACTTCACATGGGGCTTGGTAGATAGAGCGACAGCGTGCATATCATATCCCTTCAAATGCCATTACAGGGGCTTGGAGCTTTGACCCTCTCTAACCATGCAGAGGGCCAGCCGTGGTCCTGGCACACCAGAGAGGCTGTCCAAGTTTCCATTTAACTCACGGAACTTTGCTCAGGCCCAACTCTGTGCAAGGTGGGTGCTGAGTCTCTGGGGACCATAAGCTGGAGTAGTGGGGTGGGGGCAAGCAGGTGAACAGATCATGAATAGATCATTCCAATACAGGGAAGTCAGAGCAGTGGCCAGGGGACCCAGGGGCTATGAAAGCAGAGAGCAGGGGCGCCCAAGGCTTCAGGAAGGCTTCCCAGGGGAGGTGTCATGAGGCTGAGATCTGAGGGGTCAATACAATTTTCCAGGTGTGCTGGGGTGTGGGGAAGGAGGCAGTATGGGAAGGAGCAGGGGGGAGTATCCCCAGGAGAGCTTGGTGCTTAAAAGCTGCACCTTGCAGGGACCTGTTTATATCCCCTGTTCCGCTCAGCATCTCTTGCGTTATGGCTGACAGGAGATAAGAATTTTGGTTGCACAAAAGGATTTGGAGAGAATTGAGCAGAGATAGATGAACTATTGTTTATTTTCTTGTTTGTTTTCATGACAAAAGTGAGATTTCCAGTGCAGATAGTGGATGAAGTAGACAGAACTTTCCAGAGAGATTCTATAAGGCTGTGAGCATAACAACCAGAATTCACCTGGTCTCCCCGCTGAGGCTCCTTTCTTCTCACCTCTCTCGGGGTTCCAGCCAGCCTCGGCCCCTGTGGCCTAGGTACCTTCAAGCATGTGTAGTTGGTGCCCTGAGCTGGGAGGCTGGTGTCTGCTGGTCAGGTGAAGCAGGGCAAGGCCTTACCATGGGAGACGCAGGCATGGGCAAGTGAGTGTGAGCAGAATGGGAAGTTCAGGGAGGCCTGGGGGGTCTGTAGGTGCCCGATCGGACAATGGGCCAGTATGAGGAACCTGTGTGGGACCTCTAGAAACTAGTACGCTCTGAGGAAGACTCATTTCTGATAACCTGGTGGGTGGAGGTCAATATTGAGAGTAAAATGTGACCTTATTTTCAGTCACGGTTTAGGACAAGTAGGTTGTCTGGTTAGCCGTGTCAGCAACCAGGCATTTGCTGGAGGCCAGAAGCCCCTCTGCATCTCCCAGTGCCAGTGTCTGTCTCCAGCCCGAGACCCTGCCTCTCTGGATGAGAGCAGCCAACTGCACACAGAAGTTCTGTGTTCTGCTCCAGAGTGTGAGTTAACAAGCAGGAATGGGGCCACCACAACTTCCTGTGAGCATTTTTAAATTATGAAGTGTTTTATGCTCATCCAACGATGACTTTTGAAAAGTATACTAATCAATAAGAATTGCCCATGATCCAATTAATGCTGCATCATCAATATGATGGTATACATTTCTCCCTCCATAGTCATTTCAACTTTGTGTTCTTTTCCCACGTACCTTGATGCCTTAAGTATTGTCACACATCATAGAACCTCCCCACCCCCTCTGCAGCTGCATGCTATTCCCCCACAGAAGGTCAGATGAGCTTGTCTGTGTCCTTGCAGTTAGATGGAGCCCTGTGATTGATTTTAGCTTGGCTCCATTTTTCTTTTTCTGTGCACCTCTGAATATCTTTGTGCAAAAGTCTTTGCATTTTGAGTCACTTTCAGGAGTCTATCCTCTGGTCCAAGGTATATGGGCTTGGCCTGAGATGCATTCTGCCAAGCGCTGGTCTGATCATTGGTAATGGCTTATGCGGCCCACCGGCAGAGTGAGCGACACACCCCCCACCTTCACCCACATGCTCTCTCGGGCTTCCTGTGTGTTTGACCGACTCTGCGGACTTGTACCATATTTTCTGAAGAGATGATAATTTGGTTCCAATTTTAGAATGCCGTACAGTGAAATGAAAAGTCCTGCAGGACTGGAATATCACCTAGAGTCATGGTCCTTTTATTTAAAAAATAAAAAAGTTTTGCAACCACGGACAACTGATCTCTAGATTAAAGAGATCTATACTACTGGAGAATAAAAAGTATACATAGGACACCTTTTCAAAAAGACGGAAAGTGTGCGCATGAAAAAACCATACTCTTTCCTTTGCAAATGCTTTTTAAAGCCATAAAGGTAAAGATTCTTGAAGAATGGCTACTCCATCTTGCACCAATAGTACATTTGTCCCAGGATAAGAAAATTGCCCAGAAAAATGTCCATGTTTATTAGACATAGGAGAGAAGAGTTTCTATCAATCCGAGAGAAAGTACCCTGGTTGGTGGAGTTAATGATTTCCCCCCTGGGAGAATTATCTTTCAGAAAAGCTGCTCTTCAATTGTCTGTTTTCTGCACCTTTCCAGCATCAATTCTGCGTGCTGTGTTTCGTTTGGGAGCTGAGAAGCATGGGAGTGGAGGATCTTTGGAGAGGAAGGGGTTGGGGAGAAAGTAGCAGCCAAGCTTTGGGTGGGAGTCCCGGTTTCAGAGCACAACCGGTTCATCTCAATAGCAGCATGAACAGCTCCCCCAAGAGCCCCAGGGAGCTTGGGAACACACGGGCTTTGAAGAGGTGATGCGTGACACCAGCACGCTCAGAGGCTTGTTGAGGAACTGAGGCACTCATACTGGCATCACAGAGCTGCACCGAAGAGAAGGGGTCCCCTCACAGCACGTGGATGGCCAGGGGCTAGCTGCACGGGGGACACGGCATCCAGGGGCTCGAGCCAGGCATGGGAGCAAAGCAGAACCCGAAGGCTGTGTGTAGACCCGAGGGCCCTGGAGAAGCAGCACGCAGAGCGAAGCCAAACCTGCCCGGCAGCAGGTGGCAACAAGATCCTCAGTCCAGAGAGGCTGGAGCGAGCAGGAGGATCCAAAGGAATGAGACAAGGAGCAAGTCTGACCAGAGCAGGAGGGCCAAGGGAATTCCCTGAGCCCTGGAAGCTGGGCAGGCGCCTTTCATGGAGCATCCTTGTTGTTCATTTCCCAAATATTCAGTGAGAACCTACAGTGTTCCAGAAACTGCACCAGGCACTGGAGATTTTAAAACTAATAAAACAGACACAGACCCTGCTCTTGTGGAACCTCTGATGAGGGTAGGGGGATAGAGAGTCGCAGACAAAAAACAATTAAGAAATAAATGAATAGTTTATTCTATTGGTCAAAGCCAGTCACATGGCTAAGCCCCAAATCAATGGGACCTGGGTATGTACCCCTTCCACTGGGAGGAGGGCATGGTCAGGAGCAATAATCTAATACACACAATGGGAAGTGGTTCTCTCTCCAAGCCGAGCCCTGGGTCCTCCATCTGTGGTTCTTCTGGGACTAGAATCTGGGCTTTGCCCTGCAGAAGGTAAAGAAAGAAAACACAGCTTGTTCTGAATTCACTTGGTATGAAGTCCTACCCTGCTGGGTCAGGTTCCAGGCAGCACACAGGTCTCCCTCTGGGCATCCTGTAGAGGGGGCAAAAATCCTGTCTTAGCCTCCGTCTGGCTGCTGGGACCCAGGAATGCAGTGGGAGAAGGGATGGAAGTTCATTGCTCAATATCGTTTGGGCTAGTGGCTTCCAAGTCTGTCTGTGCATCCTGATCACTTGGGGGGTTAGTTAAAATGACAGATTCCAGGCCCTCACCCTCAAAACCATCCACTGGGAATCTCCTAAGGTGGGGCCCAGGAATTAGTGTCTATAGATGTTTTTCCAGTGATTCTCCTGAGGCCAGCCCTAACCCTGCACCTGTCTACAGACAATAATTTTGGGGGGACACAGTGTGAGCCCCCCGATAGATGATGTACATTGCAAAGCCCACTAATTGGGGAGGAGAGAACGTGGTCTAGGCTGGCGTGATCATGGAGGACTCCCTGGAAGAGGAGCTGGACATATTACAATTGGGCAATGGTGACCAGTGTAGATTCGAAGGACAAAGAGAGGTGAGATAGGAAGTAGTCATAGTGATCGGACCAGGTGAGAAGTGATGATAGCCTTAAACTAGAGTGGAGAGACATCAGTCTTGGGAGCCCTCTAAAATTCAGAAGCAGGAGACCTTACTGGCCCTTTGCGTGTGGAGGGTAAAATGTTGCAATGCTCTGAAGTACTGCCTTCTAGGTTTGAAGCCTTTGGAAGTAAGGTTTAGGCCATGATGATGACAGGGTATTCTCTAGGGCCATGCTTCTTAAATCCTCGGTGGTGCAGGACCAGGGTCTTTCCCCAGTCAGTCATGTACCATAATTTTGTAAAAATATAATAGAAACAAATTTCTGGGAAAATGAAATAAATAGCAAAGATGTTCAAAATATAAACCAAAATGTTTATTTTTATTAGAGTCAACAAATATAAACTCACTCTGTCACATGGCTATACAAGTTTTTAAATGCTTATTGTCCATTTCCCTACTGACCTCATCTCAGACCCGGAACAGGCAATTCAGGGACCAAACTGGTCTGTAGGCGACAGCGAATAGCATTGTTCTAGCAACATGGCCTTGCCCTTACCCTGCACACAATCTGAAATGGTTTGGATCATCTTTCCAACGTAGTCTCAGCACGCCGTCCTTCCATGGTCCTTGCCTGATGGCGCCGGCTCTCCTGGCTGACCATGACCGGGGGATGAAAAGGGGATGATCGCAGCCTCTGGCTGTAGCCGGCAGCTGCGGGGCAGGAAGCTGTCTGCCGTTTGCCAGGTGCTCCCAGAACAAGGCTTGCAAGTGTCTGCCGGTGCGCATGACTCCGAGATCACCCCAGGGGAAGGCGCGAGGGTGTTTCCAGGCCAAGAAGTCCCAGTGTGGATTTGAGACAAAATGAAAGCCCCTCTGCCATCACGGAACCAGAGAGAACTTCATGGGCAGAACCAAAGTTGAGGACAGATTTCTAGTTGTTTCATTTGGCATTCATTAAGATGTCTCGGGGCTGAGGGAGCTACTAAAAGGGTTGAAGGTACATGAGGTTTTCCAGAATTGGAACCACATGTAAGGGCAATTTCATCATCATATACGCTCGCCCGCAGACACTCAAATTCAGGCTGGGGTGTGTGCACGCGCACGCACACACGCACACACACAGCAGCCGCGTCTTGAATCGTTCCCATTTTAATGCCTGGCAGGCTGTCATTTGGCGGCTGGCTGGGGGCTAGGTGGGCCGTCCCACGGGGACAGCAACAAAGGTTCCCTGGGTCCAGATGACCGCCTTCCTCGCCTCTGACAGCCAGAATGGGACTGGGGCGGGTGCTGGTTTCCATACACTCGCTCACTCGTTACTGAGCGCCTCGTATGGGTCAGGCACTGCACAGTGATGTACAAGTTTGCTCCGGGGCACAAATAGGCCGTAATCGAATAAGTAAGCAATTCTCCAGAGGGGAGGACAGGAGGGGGTGGGTGGAAGCAGGGTGCTGGTCATCAAGGTGTGGCCCAGGAGGCCCCCTTTACAAAGGCACGTTTGAGTTGAGGCCTGGAGGCAGACGAGCACCAGCCACAGGAAGGGCAGGAACGGAGCACGTCCCTGAGGCCTTGAGGATTAACGGTGATATGGACATGGGGGTGTTTTTCCCCTCCCTTGCTCTGCTCTGTAGGTAGTTAAGATATCTCTTTAAGAAAGAATTAAAAAGGTAATAAAATGCTCTGACTTTATGAGACTGAAATATAGTGAATGGAAAGGGGTCAGCAATAAAGGAAGAGAGAGCATTCCTTGTATTTGTAATTGAGTTCAGAGAGTTTGTGGCTTTGTTTCTTTTTAAATTGTGCCTGTGTGTAACTGTTTTTAATTGGAGAAGAGAAAGCCACATAAGTTAATCCCTGTTAAATTGTGTATGGGCCTATCACATGTGGGGCACAGGGCTAAGAGCTTTGCATTTATTATCTGATAGAGACCCTCTCAACGGCCCTGAAATAGGTTCCAGTATCACCAGCGTCTGCATGCATGTCACCTGTGTTTGCCTGCTCAGGCAGAGAAGGAGATGACTGGCCCATGGTATGTGGCACCAAGTGGGAGAGCTGGGATTCACACGTGGGTCTGAGCCCAGGCCGGGGTTCCTCCTTTTAGGGTGGTTAATAACTATCCCCATTCAGCAGATGCAGAAACTGAGGCTCTAAAAGGTTTATTCAGAGCTACACAGCCAAGAAGTGGCAGAGCCGGCCTTCAAACCTGAGTCTGTCCAGCTGCAGAGTTAACACTCTTGCATTTAATTACATTGAATCGAACTGAATTGAAGTGGATTCCCCATTGTGTGACCCTGTCAGAGGGGGCCTTCTGCATGGATTGATGATCAGGAGTGTTCTAACGTTCTGAAAATGAACACCAGACCTAATCCAGCTGCCAAATGACCTTTTCAAAGCAGAATCTGGATACTTCATGCCCTCGCTAAACACTCATTGATGACTCCTCACTAGCTGCAAGGTGAAACCCAAACCTCTTACCCGGCATCTGTCATCTGACCTCTGCTTACCTCTCCAGGCCCTCTCTGCCTCCTAACCCACCCCCAGTTCAGATGCACTGGGATGGCCGTGGAGATAAAGGTGCTCACTGCTGACCAAAAGGACCTCCCTACCTTCTCCCAGTAGGAAAGGAAATCCCTTGGTGCCCAAATCAAAGTCATCCACCTCTTGGAGAAAGTCTTAAAAGATGCCAGATGGTTGATGCCCGCAGAGACTGGCTAGAATGTCAGCTGCCTGCACGATCCTGTGCAGGGGGAGCCCCTTCCTCCCCTCCCACTCTCCAGCATCCTCACATCCAGCCACTCACCTTGTATGAATCCAGACATTTCCTAGAACACCTGATGCCTCTTCAGCCAAGACCAGGAAGAGCTGGAGGCCCGTGAGCACGCACAGTGAAGGAATGAAGGGTGTTTTGACACACCTGTGTCTTTCCTTTTCACGCTTCGGTGTCACTTCTGCGTACAGAAGTGGAACAATTCTGAATGTCTTGGATTGCAAGAACCCCCAAAGCCTGTGCTTTCCAGAAGTCTCAGATTCGCTTTTTTCCACCTCCAGGCATCTAATAGGAGAGTTCCAAGTAGCTAATATTCTACTGGTAAGAAAACAAATTTAGCGGGAGTTATAATAAAATCATCACATTTCTAAATCCTTAACCCATGGAGAAGGAGTTTAATTCCTAAAGGCATTCACTGTTCACTTTTCCAGGAATACTTACGAGGTAATCGTTTATCAAAACAAAAGGTAGCTGCTTCCTTTCTCTTCACTTAAGAAAATAAGTGAACCACACTTCATACACTGCAAAGATTTTGTTTCCAAGCAGGACAGCTCGGAGAAGTCTGGGAAGCTTGTGAACCAGGGAGCGGGACATTCCTATTGTGAGGCTTCAACAGGAAGTTTGCCGTGTTGGGCTCTTAACCTAAATGCTCATGACAAGCCCATGAGGAGGTATCGCTAACTCAGATCTACAGGTGAGGCAGTGGAGGCTCAGAGATGACTCACTCAGCTTTGCAGAGGTCACATGACCCACATTTAGAGGAGATGAGTTTCAAGTGCAGTCCTGTGCAGTCTCCAGGGTTAAAGCAACCCCTGTGCCCCCACAAGCTGCCCTTAAGGTCAAGCAGTGATGAAACTGACAACACTCCTTGATCCTTTGCCAACATCAGAGATTATGACTTTTCTATATTTATGTATATATATATATATATATCAGTATAAGTTGAACATTCAGAAATGAATCTGTAAAAATTACACTTGTTCTCCGTCCTGGCAAATCCTCAGAATCATGGCAGAGCTATGGTAAAAGAGCTGCATGGCCTTGGGCAAGTCACACCAACTGTCAACCGTGGCTTTGTCATCTGCACAATTAAGATAATAATCACTGGGCTGCTGGGAGGATCAAACAAAAGAATAGATGTATAAATGCTTAGCACCTTGTAGGTGCTTCATAGTTGTATATCCTTTGTTTCCTGCAATAAGTGCTATTGAATAAATGATAAGTTAACTGTAATGCATCTATTGAACATAACCCTTGTGTTTGGTGCTAAAATGAGTCTGCATTTAATCCCCTCCCCCAAATCCTGGGGAGTAGACAACACTTATTGTTTACATAAGAGGAAACTGAGGCTCAGAGAGGGTAAATGATTTGCCCAAAGTTATGCAGGAAGTAGTAGGGGTGGGATTTGAATTCAGGCACACTGAATTTAGAGGTCAAACTTTTACCCATCTTGCTATCCTTCCTCCAGGAAATGAGGATGAATAGACATTTCACGTGACAAAAGCTGAATGTGATGACTTGCCTTTGGCTCTCTTGATCCCCATCTCAGACTCCTTCTGGGGAAATGAAAGCTGTTTGTGTGAACTCCCTACTCTGTCAAGGACACTATACTCAGAAAGCTTCATCGATTTCTTTTACTATATGGGTACAATTTTGCCTGCTCCTTGTGAACCCTCAAAAGCAAGCCTGGTGAGGTCACCAAAGCAACTGCAGATGTGATGTTCCCTAGGCTCTTTTGTACCTGATTTCTTCCCGAAGAGGCCCTTTGCCCCCCAGCCAGAGGGTGGTGAGAGGAGCGAAAACTCTACCAGGCCTGTGCCTCCACTGACCATCCCTTCGTTATTTATTTTCTTCTTTATTTGCACTCCTTCCAAAAAGGATTTCAGGTGGAATGTTATCAAAGATAACCAGCAAAATATCTAGGTACTCACAGCCCCACAGAATAAAGGGAATCAATCCCACTGATGTCTTGGGCTTCTCCAGTGAAGAGGCTTCCAGAAGGAGGTGATATGCGAGGACCTTACACCAGCAGAAATAGCAGAACGTCAAGGACTGGTGCCACGGGGCTCACCCCGTGGCCCCCTACACAAAACCACTTTCTCCGTGTTCCTCTCTGCATCTTTAAGAGAGGGAAGGTCCAGGGAAAGAAGGGTGAGAAGGGGAAGGGGAAGAGGCCTCCTCCTGGATGCCATTTCTATTATCGGGAAGTAGATTCCTCCATCCTCAATTCTGGACTGCCTGCCTTGCTGAAAACAAAAAGAACCCACATGTTATGGGCTGCTGTCGGGATGGGTGGTTCTGCAGGACTGAGGGTAGGATTAGGCAGGGGCAGTACCTGAGAAGTGCAGATAGGCCACAAGTGCTGTCTGGGGCTCAGGGAAGCCTGCCATGGCAGCAGTCAGGTCAGGGGTCTGAGGCTCCCCAGATCCGCCCGGCAAATATTCCCTGCACTCTGACCTCAGCGCAGAGGGATCAAAAATAAGCATCACAATCCCTGCCTTTGAGGAGCTCCCAGTTGCTAGGGGAGGCAAGCATGCAAATTAATCCCACAGGATTCATTCACACTTTCTACCAGTATCGAGTGAGCATCTAACTCCATGCCAGCCACTGGGCACAGGGTGTGATGGGGATTCAGAGTAACCATGAAGCTTAGAGTCTAGTGCTGTGTCTAATGCTGAGGATGCCATGGAGCACAGACGAGCATATCTACCGAGACGAGAAATTCGGAAAGGTTGCGTGCAGTTAACAAGACAGAAGGGGATAAGAAGGGAGCTCTGTATAGAGGAAACATCATGATCAAATGCACAGAGGCATGAAACAATGGACCTAAGACACAAGGCTGGCTGTGTGTGGACTGCTTCTTACAGCTCTGTGACCTTCAGATGCACCTGACAAAAAGCCCTCCTGTTCTCCAGTGGTTCATTTTAATTGAACTTGGGGCCTCTGGAACATGATTTAGAGCAGCTCCATGATCTCATCCTCCAGAAGGTGATGGGCTAGTCCAGACACAGCTCCTCGGGGCTGTGAGGAAAAGCATGCAATTAGGTCCATTCTCTTTCACACGAAGTCCCTCCCATCCAAATATCGTCCAGTGGTAAGTTCCTGGTGACCAACCTCACTGGGTGCAGTCTCTGCTCATGGCCTGCCCTGAGAAAACCCCAAAGGGGTGGCTGGCTGACGTGGGGGTTCAGACCTAAACCCAGATTCCATGGTTATCTGGTACATGGCAGGGTTGCTGTGCAGGGAACACTGTCTCCTAGGACTGAACATCTCCTTCCTCTCTTAGAACAACACTGATTGAAGTCCTACCGCATGCCATGCACGCACGGAGGCCCTCAGTCCTCACCCCAACATTGTAAGGTCCCTCTTTTATTGATGAGGTGCCTGAGGCTTGGAGACCTTCATTAACCTGCCCAAGAACTTCCTGACCAGACAGAGTCAAGCCAAGATTGCTGGGCATCTGCTTCAAACCCGCTTCACTGAGGCTTCCCACGCACAATTATACTTGACATGCAGACCTCAGCTCAGACAGGAACTCGCTCCATCTAAACAGCCCCTCTCTGTCACCACTTTTCCTTTTCGAGGCTCACCCTCTCAGATAGGACAGCACAGGCTGCCCCCCAAGCCACCCCCACCCCCGTGCCAGCTCTGCAAGGCGGGAACCTTTCCCGCCTCCTTCACTGCTGTATCCTCGATGCTCCGAACAGAGCCTTGCACATGGAAACCCTAAGCACATGGCTGCTCAGTGGACAAAGGCATCTGGCCCCTGCACTGGAATTGCTCAAGATGGCAGCCAGTGGCCCACTGGGCGCTTGCAAAGAACACTGACCCACAAAAGCCAGACTTTCTCCGTTTCTCATAGACGAGAGCAAGCAATTTCATAGATTTTTATTTCTGCTTCAGCAAAAGGATAACCTCCTAGCAAGGTTCTATGTGACAAACATTTGGGATTCATCAACTGCTAGTATCCGTACGTCACATTCCTTGATTCTACCCAGCAGTCTGACTGAGGGCTGCACAGACCTCTCAGATGTGCGTCCTCACAGAGCATGGCGCGCTCGCTGCTGTCAGCAAGCGCTGTGACCGGTCACGATGAGCGTTGCCTTGACTCTCCCCTGCTTTTCAACTGCTGCTGTGGTTATTCCAGTCAATCCATGTGTACACGCCCTCTTGGTGTTTATTTTCATTGACTGCTCTATTTTGTGTGGTGCCATTTTGATTGTGGTTTTGTTCCTCTTCAACGCTTTATCATCTCCAAATTATTTTTCCACTAAAAAAAAGAAGTGATGAACCCATCAGCCCTACTTAAATGGGTCACAGTCCTGAATGCTTGAGAAAGAATCCCGCGCCCCACCTCATGACCCCAAGTAACCCTGAACTGCCATGCTCTCTTGTTTTGCGACAGAATGTACGCGTTCCTAAAAATCACCCCACTGGGCAAAATGGGGGAAATGGGGCGAGCGGCATAACACTCAAAAGTGTCATCAGTGATACATAAGAAAGAGAGAAAGGAAAATAATTAGCACGGTTTTACACAGGTTAAATGGTTAAGAAATAGAGAAGTCCTACAGTGAATCTGGCACCTCACCCTGAAGAGACCGGGTGTTTGCCCATAGCAGAGGACGGGGGAGGGCTGCAGCTGGGGCAGTACTGTGATGGGGGGCTGGCAGGCTGGCAGGGGTGCTTTCTGAATGGAAGGCACTCTGTCACTGCGGGGGCAGGTGGATGTGGCTCATAACATACAGCGGACTGCATGGCGGCTAGATTTTGAGGTGTGTACACATGCATGTTTTGTATCTTCCTACCTGGATCAGCTCCATTGGATGCTGTTTTCTCTCTTCCCCTAGTGTTTCTCAGGAAGGAAATCTTGCATAAGCAAATGTGAAATTCCCCTTATCCTCAAAACGTTCCCCAATATATCAATTATGTTGGAACAGATGCACATTTTCAGAACAAGTGTTATGGCAGAACTGGCCAATCCCTGATTGACTTTCTTCTTTTCCTTGTTGATTCAGACTGGACCAAGAGGATTGAGTATCAGCCTGGCTCAGGGAGCGTGCCGCTTTTCCCCAGCATCCACCTGGAGACGTGCGACGGGGCCGTGTCCTCCATCCAAATCACCACGGAGCTGCAAACCAATTACATCGGGAAGGGCTGCGACCGGGAGACCTACTCTGAGAGATCCCTTCAGAAATTATGTGGTAGGTTTCTCCCTGTTGGGATTGTTTTTTAATTAATTGCTTTTAAATGATTCATACAAAGCATATCTTATATTAGGAAAGAATGAGTCCCTCCCAACCTCATCGGCATCTGTAACTCCTGGGTGAATATTGAGTTTACTTATTATGGTTAAAGAGTCAGAGCTAGGAAACAAGGCCCAGAGAGGTGCTACACAAGGAAACAGCTTCACGAAGCACCGACTGGGTGCACCTGCCACACTCTTCACGTGCATCGCTTTGTTTAACTCTCTCATCTTCATTGTCAGGAGGCTGTTACTCATCCCATTTTAAAGATGGAAAATTTGAGGCCCAGAGAGGAAAAAATGGCTGGTTCTAGACCCTATTAGAAGGTGGCGGAGTTGAAGGCACTTCTACCTGAATGCAGGCAGTTGAGCTCAGCAGCTGTGAAGGCAGGCCAGGCCGGGGCAGCTAGAATGTCAGTCTCTCAAGTCAGCCTGCAGAGTGCTCCACATACTGGGAATGGTCCCCTGTGCATGGCAAGCCAGACCGTTGAGGTGTCGATGGGCCTTGGGGTGAGGTGGACCACATACGTTTCATTGCTTTCTCATTCTCTCCAAGAGTATTCAGGAACTCACATCTAGGTCCCCAGCTATGCTGTGGGGAGCTTCGAAAAGAGCTTACTCTTTGACTAGACCTGTATTTGGGGGTAACTCCATCTCCACAAAAGGAAAAGGAGCCTCTTGAACACAGTGCAGTTCCTGAGCACCATCCACTCCTGGTGGGCCCTCCACGACTATGGCTGGGGCAGTTTTCCTCCCTCACCATTGCTGTGCACATGCATACGCACACACACACACACACACACACACACACCCCTTCACCCACACTGCTCTTGCCCAAGGAATCAGGTGAAAATTTTAGAAGTAAATGTGCGCGTGTCCCATTTGTCATGTCACCAGGCTATCAGGAAGGCCTGTGGGGACACAGGCTTCTCCAAAGATATGCAGTAGGTTGGGGAGAACACCACAACTTCAGGACTCCAGACAGCCCCCGCAAAAATGGATGCCAGGGGCCTCCACCACTCTCCTTCATTCGTGTGCAAGAAGCCATCTCCGACGACATCTTACTGTGAATGAACATGCCATTTCACTCCCCGTGCACCTGGATTATAAGTCAACTCGACCCCGCACCACCGTGGGTTACAGTCATTTCTTAAACTCCTCCGGGTGAGAAGGAGATGATGGAATCAGGTTGTTAAAGATCAGATGGGCCCAAGGGCACACACTTGTGATTTGATTTTGAATGTTGCTGGGGAGAGATGAGGAGATAGGGAGAGGGAGAAGGATTTCTTCTGAGGGAAGAAACTTTAGAGCAAAATTGCATCTGGTTGTTAACACCGCTCATTCCTTCTGGGCTGCAGGCGTCACCTTGCAGGAAGGCAGGTAACTCAGTGAGGAAAGCAGCTTTCCCCCAAGAGGTGAGCTTACCTCTTGGTTCCAGGAGACACCCTTTACGGGGAGGGGGGTCTCTGTGTCTTTCTGGTGACATTCCTGGTAGGAGTGCCCACCGCACTGTGGGGACCCTATCCGAGTAAGCTGACAGGTAGGGCCCCTCCTGCCTCCTTGTCAGGAGTCTGAATCTTGAATTCCATGGAGGGAGAGAGCTCAGGAAAAAAGGGCGGAAGCAAATGAATGGAACCCAGATGCGCATCCGGTGCTGGAGTGGGCTTCAGAAGGAGGCGGCCCTGCAGGTCCGTGCTCCCTCTGCAAGGGAGATGCAGGCTGGATGGCTTCCAGAACAGAGTCTGGGTTGTAATTCCTGATCCTGTGGGGCGGCTTAGGTTCAGGACAAGCTTCCATGTGTTTTCAGCGGATGTTAGACAAGTTGCTCGCAGGCTTTCCCAACTAGGGAATGGCCATAACACTTTCAGCATCGGCAACCGGGCATTTTTCATCTTCCAAATCTTTATTGACTTTGGATGGAAACAGGGAGACCAATTAGGATGTTATTGCCATGGTCTAAGCAAGACATAATGAGTTCTGAACCAGGGGAGTGGCAGTAGAAATGCATTTAAGACAGCTTTAGGAGGCAAAATCAGCAAGCTAATCAATGATGGATTAGCTGTCAGGAGTGAGAAGGAAGGAATCTAAGATGACTCAAGTGTAAGCATCTAACTGGACAAGAATGCCACTGACCAGAAGTAGGAATCCAGGCACGTGAAGATTTAGGGACTACGAGGACTGGTGCCTGGGGAACATCCAGGTGTGGGTGTCCAACACCTGCCTGACTCGGGACACTTCCGAGGACCTGCCTCCACCCTGCCAATCCATTGTTGTAGCCAGTTTCCTCCTGATGTTCTGCCTCTTCTTGGCCAGGACACCTCCTTTGTCCCTGTGCCTGGCTGATTCTCATCCCTAAGTCTTTGCTCATGGTTTCTTCCCACCAGAATCTCTCCCTGCTTTGCTGTTCCAAACCTTTCCCTTCAGCAGTATTCTCCTGGCCTTTGTACACCAGGGAGGCTATCCTGGGGGTGCTTCCTGGATGCCATTGAGTTCTGGTATCTCTTCTGTGATACCGTAGGTATGCGGTGACCCAGGCAGGGGTGTCTCTGTGGAGGGGCATTTTGCGTGTCTGGTCACTGCCCACCTGCTTCCTCTTCTTGCAACGCCGGCTCCATTAGGAGCAGACAAGAGCTAGTTCAAAGCCCATTGTCAGGAAGGACCTGACAGGTGCAGCAGCTTTTGAAACAGCCTCTCTGGGCCCACACTGAGATGCCTGCATTCTGCCTTGAAACAAAAATAATGCAGGACCCTGAACCCGTGCCCCCTTGAGCTTGTAGAACATAGCCTCAGATGGTCTGCCACTAGCCTCACTCTACCTAAAGCCAGGTTTCTTGGAGAAGTTCGGCAAACTGCTTATCACTTCCTCTGAATTCAGAGATTCAAGATGAAGGGCTCGGTCCTCTCAGTCCCAGCCTTTCCAGAAGTGAAGTGTCACAGAATTGCCTTGAGTATGAAATGCCCCATGAAGCCCTGAGGAAGACCTCTTGGCCAAATTAAATTTGACATTACTGAGAGCCCCAGGAAGGGCACACTTCGATGCCCCTAAGTCACTACATATTACAGTAAATAGAAAAGCAGTCCGTGACGCACATGCCTTTCCGAGCGTGGAGGCCAGGGGCTGTTCCTCCTCGGGATCACAGGGCTCCTGACAGCTGGCTCGCTGCTCCATATATGCCGCCCGGGGCAGCTCTTTTGTGTGTGGAGTCAGGAACTACAAGGGCAGGTCCTGTTGAAGGAAAGGCCACAGAACGAGAGCATACTATTATACCAAGTGGTTGATCTGTCAGAGCATTCCAGATCACCAGACATTAAGTTGTGCTCAGGATATATGCACTTGTGAGCCCTGGAGATTTTCATAGATGATTTGTTCGTTCTTCATTCATTCATTCATGTATTTTCTGTGGAAGACATGTTTTTAAAAAAAGTTAAGAACTTGGTTTTCTACTAACCATGAAACTTGACAGAGCTCATCCTCATTCCGAATCACAGTCAGAGGTGTTTGTACCCCTAGAATCGCTCAAGTCCTGGAAGCTATCAGCAGCTTCTCCAAGATGCCTCTGCAAGGCTGGAGCTTCCAGGCTTGAGTGTTGGTCCCCTAGACTCTTGGAGAGCAGAAAGGGGCCTATTGCTTTAAGGAAAATTGGCACACATCTATCAGGACTCAGATTAAATCCTTAATCATACATAAGCACGGGGCCGCACACACTGACTCATGGAGGACGGTAGGTAGGGAGCTTCTCAGTGGATATGCTGATTCCCTGGTGTCCTCTGAGTAGCTGCCTTATGGCGTGCCTTCCCATGTTGGGTAGAAGGTTTTTACCTGCAGTGCCCTTGCCCATGCTGGTCAGCAACTGGGTACCCATGGCCCTGCTCCAGGAGCCTGGCTGACCACCCCTACACCAGAGCCCAGCTGCTCTACATGGAGACCCAGGTTCCCCATTGCAAGACCTTGCAGGAACCCTTGTCTAGGATTCCGAAGGTGGAATGACACTCTGGTTGTAGGTCAACAGTGTGTGAGCTCCTGAAAGGACGTTAGAAAGTCCTCCCTGTCCATGATGAAGGCATGCCAAAGAAGAAATGGGAATCATAGCCTCTGATGTCAGTCACTTATGTGGATTATCAGGATAGCAGGTGACGCTGCAGTCACAAATGACCCTAACATCTCACTGGCTCAAAGTAACAAAGGTTTATTGATCATTCCTACTGCATGTCCTTCTTGGATTGGCTATGGCTCTCTTCCATGTGGTTTCCCACTGGAATCTAGGCCAACAAACAGCCTTTATTTTTTTTTTAATTTTATTTTATTATGTTAGTCACCATACATTACATCATTAGTTTTTGATGTAGTGTTCCATGATTCATTGTTTGCGTATAATACCCAGTTCTCCATGCAATACGTACCCTCCTTAATACCCATCACTGGGCTAACCCATCCCCCCACCCCCTCCCCTCTAAAACCCTCAGTTTGTTTCTCAGAGTCCATAGTCTCTCATGGTTCGTCCTCCCCTCCTATTTCCCCCCCCTTCATTTTTCCCTTCCTACTATCTTCTTTTTTTTTTTTAACATATAATGTATTATTTGTTTCAGGACTACAGGTCTGTGATTCATCAGCCTTACACAATACACAGTGCTCACCATAACACATACCTTCCCCAATGTCCATCACCCAGCCACCCCATCCCTCCCATCCCCCACCACTCCAGCAACCCTCAATTCATTTCCTGAGATTAAGAGTCTCTTATGGTTTGTCTCCCTCTCTGGTTTCATCTTGTTTCATTTTTTCCTCCCTTCCCCTATGCTCCTCTATCTTTTTTCTTAAATTCCTCATATCAATGAGATCATATGATACTTGTCTTTCTCTGATTGACTTATTTTGCTTAGCATAATACCCTCTAGTTCCATCCACATCATTGCAAATGGCAAGATTTCATTTTTTGTTTTTTTGATGGCAGCATAATA